GCGGACAAATACGTCCAGATTTCTGTCGCTCTACCCCTCTGAAGCATATCGGCGCATTCTGCGTTTTTACACCGACCATTTCACAAGCTTTCCCGCCTGTCGGAAGCGTACCGGCGCGCTCTCTGCTTTTCCACTTTCTTCGTCTTAATAAGGGAGGCGTCGGCACCGGAAAAGGAGCAACAACGATTATACTTTTCTCAGTCTTGGCTCATCCTTTCGGAAGCACAACAGCCTTTAAAGAGCAGATGGACTGGGCTATTGACGACTCTTCCACTAAATTGGACAGCGGTCGTTTTCTATTCCCACGAGGCGTGCCCTGGCTTTCTTTTCTTTTCTTTTTTTGTCTTGCGCTGGATTTCTTTCTCTTCACTTGGAAGGGGCTCGTCTGGATAGGGGTCGTGAATGAACCTCAATCATCCATCGGATTTGCGAGCCTTGGTTCTTGGTGTTGGGGGACTTTAGAGAGGAAAAGAGCGAAACTGCCGAGCGTGTCTTTCGAGAGCAAGTTTCGTGTCTATCGCGAGTCTGCTGTCCGAAGACTTTGATGGCGCTGCGGTGCTCTTGATTCTCTGGATGTTTTGGTCCGTGGATACCAAAAGTATACGGTCAAGGTGTGTCAGGATGGACGCCGGAATGCTGGTTATGGCCTGGATACCACCCCAATAAAAGTCCATCGACATCGCGGAGGACTTAAGGGATTGGCGTGTTACGACTAGTGATGGACTTTTCTTTATTCTTCGGTCTCTTTTTCTTGAGGGAAGCTTCCTCTGGATGAGGAGGCGAGGGATGTGTGTTCAGACCCCTGGGGTAGGTAGAGGGTTTTGATTGGTTTTTCTGAAGGGAGAATGATACCGTATCGATGGTTTAGCTAGAGCAGCTAGGATGCTATACCCCCTCGTCGTTTAATAAACATTAGGTTTTCGGATGACTTTTTGGCCAGCCAGGCACCTTTAAGTGATGGACAACGACAGAGATGGACTAACCTTTGACATAGTCGAGTGGGCATCCCTCCTCCTGCGTGCACCCCCTTCCCCGTTTCCTCCTTGCTGCTACATCCTTCATCACCACCATCCCCCCCTGCTTGACACACCCTCACCACCCACAGGGTACACTGCATCGGATAGGTCCCGCATGCCTAAGATACCTGACTTGGAGACTTGCATGCGCCGAACGGCATACCTCAGGTGTAAGCCGCTTCTCGCAGGAAAACGCGGGCGCGCTTCTGATGTTGGCCCGAAGTTTCAGGGTAGGGAAATTCGGATAGACACTAGTGTATGCTAGATTAGGCACCTGTTGGGGTTGTTTCATCATTTCGGATATGTGATTGTGCAAGCCTGAAGGCAGGCTCTGCGCATGAGTTTAGATTGTTGCTCGATAATACCTCAACAAAAAGGAGTCGGAGCGTAACCTCCTGGTAAGATGTTTTCAAACATGTCGACGGCCTACCCTATACATGACGCGTGGTGTTGCGGCGCGATGCAATTGTTGTGTGTTCTCGTGGCTTGGTCTTGGCTGTGGCGTCATTCCACCTGCCGCTGTCCGACCCTCCTGCTGGCTCGTGCGTGACACTGCTTGGGCAATCTCGATAAAAGTCTGGGGAAATACAACTCGTGACTGTTAAAAGGATAACCGGCACAGGAAGGGTATGACAGGGGAACATCATCTTCCACGTGCTGGTATTGATGGATTTTCCGTGCAGGTCTAAACATAATACTGCTTGACATGACACTGAGAAAGGTTCTCTTTTAACACACATTTAACAAAGCGAGATCTATTTCCATCACAGTCACGCATTCTCGACATCGAACCAGCAACTACAAAACCCGGCAGTCACGGCCTGTCATGATGGTGGCGGGAAGGAATCAAACAAGCCTCTTTCCCCTAACCAATACGAGGTCCCCTTTTGCTACCCCTGTCTCTCTTTTTTGCAGTGTTTTCCTCATGACATGTCAGCCACAGCCAGCCCACAGCAACCACACCCCTGTCTTTACATACCAGATCGGGAATAGCGCCCACAGTGGACTTTCTCGTATCGTCGATGACCATGAGAATGGATCAACACAATTCCATGTGGAGAGACACAGCCTTCGCTTCGCTTCTGCCTCTTCTCCTGTTGATCAACAGGCCATCGCCGGCATCAGTCTTCTTCTTCCCCATCACTCTCGCTGCGAGTCTGTCGTTCCAGTCCAGCAAGTTGAAGTTTTGGCTGTCCCCTTTGATTCTTCGACAACAATAATAGCGGACCAGTTCTCCCTCGCTCCAACTGTCCCCCTTTATCGCTGTTTTTTTCGCCCCCTTGAGGCCCTTTGATCGATCCCTTGGTTCTTGTCCCCGCACGAGACAGAGTCAACAACAAATCGAACGACAAACGCACTCACTCGCTCATCGTTCGCATCTTCACGGGCGTCTGCACATTCATCTATACACACATCTCTCTACCTGAATCACCCAATCGGCTCCGACCTTCGATCGTTTCCAAACGTGCCGTGTCCGGCTTCCTCACTGGCTCTCTCCCCGGTTGAACGCATAAACCACCGTCTATCATTGGGAAATAGTGTGAATCAAACCGGATTTACCTTGGCTGGAGCGTCGTAATCGCGTTGGTTTGCATTCCGACGCGGACTTCACTCCTGCCCGAGCCTCGTTCTCTAATACCTCGGTCGCATTCTGGACCACACGCCAATCGTCAAACATAACACATACACATACCCAACACATAGTCAAAATGGTCCGATCTCTCCTCCCGCTGGGCGTTGCCCTCTTGGGAGCATCATGCCTTGTCGCAGCCGATGATATACCCACCTGCTCTCTCGAGAAGAAATGTCCCAAAGAAACGCCCTGCTGCGGTCGTAAGTCTCTCGCCCTTGATTCCAGTTATCCTGCCGCTGCCCGACAGTGTCATACCGTGGTACAAGAACCGCCACTAACCGTCGGCTGCCCGCATGACAGAATACGGCCAATGCGGAATAGGCGCCTACTGCCTCGGAGGCTGCGACCCGCGCATGTCCTTCTCCATGGACGCCTGCGTGCCCGCCCCCGTTTGCGAGTCCCGAACGTACCCCATGGACTCGCTCGACCGCATCGTCAGCATCGACAACTACCTCGGCGACCCGTCCAAGGCCGACTTCGTCTACCAGGGCGAGCCCCTGCTGTACAACGACAACGTCCTCCTCACCATGCCGGCACACTCGGTCGGTACGGTGCTGGCGTCCACGACGTACATGTGGTACGGCACCGTGCGCGCCAAGCTCAAGACGTCGCACGGCGCCGGTGTCGTGACGGCCTTCATCCTCTTTAGTGACGTCAAGGACGAGATTGACTACGAGTGGGTGGGCACCGACTTGCACACGGCTCAGACGAATTACTACTTCCAGGGCATTCCTGACTGTACGTTTACCCCTTTCCATCCTCCATCCTCCCAGCTCTTTACCACTCATACTAACCGCACCCTGTCCATCAGACACGCAAAGCGGCAACATTACCGCACTAACCGACACCTTCTCCGACTTCCACGACTATGAAATCAGCTGGACGCCCGACGAGATCAACTGGTCCGTCGACGGCAAGGTGCGGCGCACCAAGAAGCGCGCCGACACGTGGAACGCGACGGCCAACCAGTGGGACTACCCGCAGACGCCCTCGCGCGTGCAGCTCTCCCTCTGGCCGGGCGGCGCCGACACCAACGCCCAGGGCACCATCGACTGGGCCGGCGGCAAGGTCGACTGGGAGAGCGACGACATCAAGGAGTACGGGTACTACTTCGCCACGTTCGGGCAGGTCGAGGTGGAGTGCTGGAACGCCACGAGGGCGCCGGGCACGAACCTCCACACCTCGTACACTTATAACAGCTGGCTCGCGACGAACGACACGGTTATTGATGGTGACAAGCCCACGGTCCTCAAGTCCTTCCTCGGCACGGGGCTGGACATGAACAAGGGCGCGCCGAGCGGGTCGCAGTCGGGCGGCAGCCCGACGAATTCCGCGTCCGGCCCAATCGCCAGCGTGCCCGGCGGAACGGCTAGTGGCCCAGGTCAGGCGCCCCAGAACTCAGACGGTAACACCGACGGTGGCAGCGGGACAAGCGGCGGCGGTGATGGGTCGCAGACGGGTAGTTCGAGTGGCTGCGTCGCGACGGGGTTCTCGCAGGATTGCAGCGGGAACGGAAACTCGGGTGGTGGGAACGGAGGACAGAATGCGGGCGCGAGGTTGGAGGGGATGGCGGGAGGGAGTGCGTTGGCGGTTGTTGTTGCTCTGGCGGGGATGTTGATGCTTTGAGCTTTGGTACGGCTTTGAGTCTGTAATGGTGCAGAGCGCGATGCCCGTGTCCTGGTGTTAGCATCGTAAGCGGGAGTTGTCTGTTCTCTATTCGGTTTTGTTTCTTGTGGTTACTTATATATATCTTGTTTCTTATATCTGGGAGGTTATCATGGAAGGAAATGGGGGGGTTACTTGAGTACTTAAAAGATTTAATATCAGATGAGGATGTAATGGCTTTGGCCGTCCGTTCTTTAATATGGCATGTTCACAAGATCAGAAGTCGGCGCAGCGGTCGGTGGTCGAGTGTACATAGTGGTGTCTGAGGCCAGTGGCGGTGGTGTTCATAACGGCATGCTGACAGGTTCGACATAGTCAACTCCTATGCTTTCATCGATGTTGTCCAAGGTCGTCATCCTCTGCCGTTTTGCGTATTGCCTTCCCTACCTTACATAGATGTCCAGTTTCAACGCAGAACACGCATGTGTCTCTACCTCGACAGCAAGCCACGGCACACGGTTCGAGTTCCGTCGCGGATGTAGGTGTGGCCATGACTCCATCCACGAAGTGGACACGAAACCCACACCCTTGAATCCACCGCCATGCATCATCCATCCGAACCATACCATCGACAATGACTCGCACCTTCCCTCCACCGCCCTTGCTGTTCTACCTTCCCCCTCCCACTCTTACCGGTCCTTCCTAAGCCATTTTACCGCTCTCGATCCGCATCACCTAATTAGAAGGGCTGGATCGTCAAGTGGTATGATGCTTCCTTCGGGAATTCCGCTCCCGGTTGTTAGCAATAATGACTCTTGTAATGGAAGAGGTCCCGGGTTCGAATCCCGGTTCGGCCCTAACTTTTGGCTCTTTTTTGCACTTCTTTTTGCTGTATTGTCGGGGTTTTTAGGCGATGACTGTGTGGTGTCGAGGGTCGTATGTCTGTTGGTAGGTGTCTGTGATGATGTAAGGGAAGATCGAGAGTGTGGTCCGCGGCGGCTGTTATATTGGACGTCTTTGCGCTGATCGATGCTCTTGCGCCCGAGGAAGCAGGTCGTCACTTCGAGTCCCTGGATCACTCAACCAAAGACACTTTACAACTTCCCGGGGATCAGGGGATAGAGAAGGGCGTAAGATATGTGTAATGCTCATTGATGGAGATCTTGCCGAATGGGAAGCATGACGAGGAAGGGCATGTACCTTACCGCGCGGCTGCATCCGCACCTGCAGGTATTCCGGGGTCTGGTTGTGGGATGTGGGCCGCTCCTTCGTAATAAGCTGACTACGGACAACTCTATCAGCCAACCCGCTACTACCTCTACGTCTCCTTTTCTCGTACAATCCCCGCCAGTAGTACGTAGAACGTTGTGTTCGCGAGAGACTCATTGCCAGCGCTATAAAACACGGAGCCATTCCGCTAATGAAGGCTAATGAAGTTGGCCCCTTGGCGGCTGAGGCCAGGGGATGATGTGGGGGCAACGACGCCGACCGTTGTGCCGGGACACGGTCGCGGAATGGACCTCGGCATCGTACAGGGGGTGAACACTTTCCAGTTTCGGCGCGCGTATGCGAACCCGGAAGGCGCACGCGAATAGGGGTATAAGATTCTTTTGGCGTGGGTAGTCGGTCTCTCGAACAAATCTGCCTCTCTGTGCGATGCTCGGACTTTTGTTGGTCAGCCCCTGATCAGCCGCCTTCATTGTGACCGCTGGACATACACTCCTCACGCACCCAGCAATCACCGCCTCACGAAGTTCAGAACATACCTTACTCCGCAAGTTATCCCTAGAATGGCTTCCCGAGATGGAGATGGGGATGCCCGCCAGACCTTCCAAGAGGCGATGGAAATGCTGGAACTACCCCCGACCGGCGGCGGGAGCACCTCCTCCGGATCGGTGAGGCGGTTCATGGCGACCAGAGCAGCTTGGCTGCCCGGTGCGGATCTGGGAGACATTAACATCCCCTCCATCCGCGCGGGCGAGAAGCGGCCCGGTTACAACGCCGCGTACGGCGGGCACGTGTACGCCCAGGGTGCGTTGGCCATGTGTCGGGTCCAGGCTGATGCCGAGAAGAAGAAGAAGAAGAAGAAGGGCACGAAGCCTCTAGGTTTACATGTATGTCTCTTATCCCCCCCCATCCGGGTTCTCTCTGTATACTAACCCCCCCCCTAGACAATCCATGGCTACTTCACATTGCCGGGCTACCTCGACCGCCCCTTCGTCTACACCGTCACGCCCCTAACGTCAGGTCGCAGCTTCAGTACCTCCTCCGTAACCGCCCACCAGCCCCTAACCCCAAGCAACAACCCAGGCCGCGACCACTTCCCCCTTTCAGACGCCTCTCTCCCCCTAGGACCGCCAGCCTTCACCGCCATGGCCTCCTTCAAGTCCTCCGCCCCGCACACACGGGGGGGCACCGTCTCCTCGTCCGAACCACCGGTCCAATCCCGGTTCGCAACCATTTTCTCCTCCCGCCCTCCCGAGGCCTGGCCCCCATCCCCACCGGTGGACATCGACCTCCTCACCGCCGTCGTAGGAAAGGAGATAGTCGGCACCTTCCCCGCCGTCGAGATGCGCAAGGTCGACATGACCGCGTTCAACTCTGGTCTCCCGCTGCACGAACAGCGTGAGCTGATCCTCTACCGCCTCCTCGCGCCCCTTCCGGCAGGGGGGGAGTGGGACGACCCGAACGCGCACGTCTGCGTGCACGCCTTCACCGTCGACCGCAACGGCTTGCTGATGATGGGAAATAGTCTGGGGATAGGGGTCAACCCCGGCCGGTCGGCGAGTCTGAGTTATAGTTTCGTGGTGCATACTAATGCCGAGGAGGCGGTGATGAACGAAAAGGAATGGTGGGTGCAGGAGTGCATGTTCCCCCGAACTGGCCAGGGGAGGGGGATGGTTGTGTGTAAGCTCTGGAGTCCGGCGGGTGTGCATGTTGCTACTGAGTTTCAGGATGGGTTGTGCGAGGCGCATGAGGAGAGGGGGGAGAGGGGTGGGCCGAGGCTTTAGGGGTTGAGGGTGTGGTATTGGGATGGGGGCGGTTTTTGGGTGTCATTGTTAGAGGGGTGAAACACGTGTTTGAAGAATGGGCGAGATATATGGCAGTACAATGGCCGAGGGCGTTATTGATGTGGTGTTTGTTAGAAGAAGTACATGTTAGACGGATCGAAGGAGGTGGCTTAACATCAATACGTGTTCGGCATCGATGGCAGAGCGGTAGATATTTGGGAGGCTCTAAGCGTTGAAGACATGGGATAGACAGATGGACATGGGAGAGACAGATGGACATGGGATAGATAGATGTAGCCGCTGCCCTATGAGTGTCCCGATCCTCAATGTACGTGTGTCCATCCACTAAACGCTGGTGCATATGATTGGTATGTAACTTAGGTATCCCGAAGGGTAGCGCTCCCGTCGGTAGTACCAGCTAACTTCGGTCTTTAGGCCACGCAACAGCGAACCTATCTCTCTCGACTTCTTGCAGACTTGTAGTTGAACGCTACGGAAGCTTGCCCATGTTATTCTCCCTGTTGGCTAAGAAGGTGGGCTTCTAATCTACTGCTGAAGGCTGCTTGTCCATATTTCTCTGGGGCTACAGCCACGTCCTCCGGTCACCTCAGCCGTCGAGCATGAAGTAAGGATGATCACGAAGGTATCATCGAGACATACGGATCGAGTATGTTCCTGGCGATCCATATTGTGAGAGATTGAAGGTATGGTTTGACGTTCACGACTTGTTATTGGAGTCTCGTCGGCCCTACTGCCAAAATAAGGGCCTACTGCTGATGAAGCACTGCTGTTTTCCTTTCACAGCTTGCTACGGTAGACTCCCGCCGTTCCCTTGCCAACTGCTGACTCGCCAGGTTCGTCGTCACCCAGGTCCTCAACCTCGCTGGTGAATTCCTCTCCCTCCTCCTCCCATTCGTCATGCGTGGGATCGTGGACAGCTTCCCTGTGAGGGATACACCTGAAGCAGAGACCGTAGCATCCATCGCATTCGTCCGCCCGGCACTTCCAAAGCTTCCCTCGGACCGCCTATCAATCCGCTGTCAGTCGCGCTTCCGGAGATGTCGAGTGGCACGAAGACTTACACAATAACATGCACTACAGGGCCAGATCCAGCGGGTGTAGGCCGACCGATACCTCGGGACGCGTCTCCGTCTTTTTGAAGCCGCTCTTCTCGGCCAGGACGTCGATAGCGGTTTGCGGCATCTTGTGGTATCTAGCCAAGCTCAATGCCGTCCACTGTTTTCCGTTTGTCGTCACGGTCATCTCCAACCCCGGGCAGTCCCTATCCAGCAGATAACGAACGACCTCCGTCAGTTCGGAATCTGATGCAGCCCAAGGGTTCAAGCTGCGGGGCCCCAGAACGTAGGCAGCCCTCAGCGCCCAGTGAAGCGCCGTCCACCCGTTATTATCCGTTGACGTGAGGAGGTCCGGCTCCGCCTGAAGGACATAGTCCAGGACGGACAGATTGCCTGTCAGCATAGCACAGTGAAGCATCGTTCTGCCGAGCCGGTCTCTGACGTTGCTCGAGAAACGCGCCCCATGGCGAACCAGAGTCTGGATAACCTCCAAGGTGTCCGGTTTCCGAAAGCAAGCGACAAAGACAACGGGCATCCCTGTTCTATCCACGTCCTGCGCAGACCCTCCTCGATCGAGCAGGTACGTTAGTAGCGGCAAGCTGCTCTCAATACAAGCTTGGCCCATTATACTGCGAAGCGCGTTGCTTTTGTCGTTAATGTTCACGTTTTGATCTCCCACAAGAAACTTCACCATTTCCGGCGCTTTCTTGCTTTGAAAGGCAAACCGAAGCGGCGTACCACCCTTACCGTTGCGGTAATGCACGTCTCGCCATGCTCGATGAGGAGTTTCAGGCATTCGAGGTGGCCGCGACTGACGGCTCGATAGAGGGCCCTGACCTCGCGCGTACCCCTCCCGTTGATGTCGGACTTCCGAGCGAGAAGAAGCCGCAGCATTTCGATATTACCAGACCCCGTAGCGTGAACGGCCGCCGTATCGCCGAAGTAGTTGAAGGTATCCATGTCGGCGCCGGCGTCCAGGAGTCGTGTGACGAATTGCGGCGACACAACCATTTTACCAGGAGACTTGGTTCGGACGGCCCTGTCGTTGAGTACGGTGTCTCCATTCGAGTCCTTCAGCTCCAGGTTGATGTTGTACTCCAAGAGCGCAGCAAGCACCCCCTCACTCTTCACCATGTGCAGGATGGGCAGCGTGCCTAGAATCATGTGGTTGACGTTGGCGCCCTTCTCCAGGAGAAGTCTCACGATCTCCGTGCGGCCCTCGCGGGCTGCTAAAGCAAGCGGAGTGTAACCTGAGTTCTCGCCACAGCCCTCCGGAAGCTGGTACTCGAGGTCCGAGTCTCCTTCGAGCAGAATCTTCACGGATTCGAGGTGATTGCCCTCTACGGCGTGGTAAAGAGCGGCGCCGGGACTGTAGGTAGTGTCACGCGGATCGACTATGCGGTTGAGACCGAGAGCCGGCGTGTGGCTAGCCAGCAGCCTCAGGACGTCGGGAAACTGAGAAGCAGCCTCAAGTGGGGACCAGTTCTTGATGTTGGTGACGAGGTGTCTGTCCGCTCCTCTGCGGAGGAGCAGTTCTACCACCTTGGGCTTATCTTTCGACAAGGCGGCATAGAGTGGTGTTGAACCATGAGAAGTCCGGCTGTTGATGTCTGCGCCGTGGTCGAGCAATGTCTCCGTGATTCCAGTGAAGCCATAATGTGCAGCGTGATGAAGCGGTGTCTCGCCATTGTAACCTGGGGCGTTAACATTGGCGCCGTATCGGATGAGCAGGTTAACCAATTCGCCATTCCCGGTATGCACAGCCGTTAC